ACTTTTTGGGGCACTTGCAACACCAGTCCGCGATTTTTGGTATTTTTTGGTCCGAGAATCGCGGCCGCGATTTTTGCATTTTTCCAAAAAGACAAACAGCAAAGCTACTTCATAACATATTACATTTTTTAAAAATAAGTTTTAAGACATCCTTGTGTATCTATTTTCATGCGGAGAATATAAGTGCATTACATTACATACTAGATCAATTTATATTGCTGTCCTTTATTTTTCAATCTTTGTTGATTTAACTTTTCGGTGAGTTGATTTTTCTAAAAATTGTTCTGATGATTTGTTTTTCTTTTTTTGTGTTTATACAGCGTATTGTCATTTAATTTGAAGCTGTTCCTACCTTTCAAAAATATAAATGGGTTATTTTAGAGCGTGTCTCCACCACAACGGAATACTGACACTGGCACGCCCCAATTGTGTATAATTCCATAATTTACATACAATACCATGCAGGCCTACTTTTTCTTTAGGGTTTAGGGTTAAAACAGCCAATCTTCGGATAGGTGGACACGCGCCCTAATTTGTTAATTATTGTGGTTATCTGTGCTGTTCTAATTTTGATTTCATTCTATTGTGAATCCTTTATTTCTCACGTTTTTACAATCTGAGTGACTACAAATGATATTCTGGTTGCTTAAAACAGAGCACAGGAAATCCTGGTGCTTTAGAGTGTTGCCTCTATCAACATATTGCTATATACGTCTTCACAGAGATTTGAAAGCTTGAAAATGAATGGCAAATTTTTGGGCAACTTTTGACACTTTTTGTGACAGCTTTTGGCAACTTTTAACACACACAAAATAACAACAAACGCAGATGCTAGCATAATCAAGTGCCAGATCTCTTAAGTCTCCAAGTAAGTTGCTCTGTGCTTACCCCTGGCCTTGTTTGCCTTCAACTTTGCAAGTGAGAGCTTTTATGTCTATTCAAGGGTCTCATAACCTGCATCTGTCTCTTCTGATTGTTTTTTTCTTCAGCGTGCGCTCCATAATTTCTTCAAAGTGCTACCTCATTTGATTTCTTTTCCTTCCAAGAAATTCTCAGCAGTCTCCCAAAAACCACATTCCTGTTTCATTTATTATTTTTATTACACTGTCTTTAGTCATTGTCTAGCATTCACAACATTATAATGGTTGACCACCGACTGCATTTAAAAATGCTGAAGTTGGTAGTCTTTGCGATGTTTCTATTTTTCAGGATTGGGATCATTTTCAGAACTATCTTTAGCCTTTGCAATTCTTCTATTTACTTGTGTGGAAAATTTGGCGTCAGATGTAATTGTACATCCTAGATATTCAGCCCGTTGAACTTGTTTTACCTTTTTACTGTTGCCTTTGAGATTATAAACAGGATTTATTGCTTTAAAAAACGTTGCCCTGCATTCTGCACTTTCCATTACAACTGTATCAAGATGTGATTGAAGGTCATTTTCTGAATCTGCAAGCAAAACTGTACCATCGGCGTATCTGAAGTTATTAACATTTTCGTCATTCACTTTAAGACCTGGGCATTCTTCTATATTTCCATAGATGATTTCACCAATATATATTGCAAAAACTAAAAGAGATCTGGTGAAATAACGTGTCCTTGCTTTACTCCTTTTTAAATCTACTTACTTTCGATGCATTCTCCACAAATCCTTACAGTAACGTTTGTGTTCCAGTACAAACCCCTGGATATTCTTAGATCCTTCCAGTCTATGTCTAGCTCTTTCATAATGTTAAATAGCTCATCGTGTCTCACTCTATCGATAGCCTGCGAACAGTCTATGAAGAATAAATACGGACCTTTCTAAGCTTTAATAATAACCTTTCCATTAATATTGTCAAAGTGAATATATAGCATTTCTGGTGCTCTTGTCAGGAACAATTGGACAGTTTCTCATTCTTCCTATTAACACTCCTGCATTTTAAAAATAAAATGACTCATAAGGCTTATAATAAATGCACCTCACACTCAACGGAACCTGGTGTTTTAGGTAATGCTATAAAACCTGACCAAATCATATTATTTCCTGGAATCTCACTATTGTGTCACAGGTGGAATTTAAGAGATTCGTTGTTATTGACGAGTACATAGCTCTTGTGTAATAATAGTGTGACAGTCACTTCAACTGGGATATTATCAAGTCCTGTGGTTTCTTCTCGTTCCATTCTTTAAGGCAGCTTCAACTTTGCTTTCAGTATTGGTGGCCCATTTTTTTTCTCCTCTATTATATTTGAAATGTTCTTCTATCTATTTTGATCATCTGTTTAAAGCATTCCCTTTTTAAATTAAAATATCACTTCCTTTTGATCTTATGCACCCTGTATTTGAGCATGCTTTCATCCCAGCTACTTCTTGGATTTTGGTATGCATAATGTATTTTAAAAATGTCTCTGTTCTGATTCTTCTTTCATTGTTGACGCTGATCATTCCTTCATTTTCTGTTGTTTCGTCAAACTTTTTATTTCCTTATTCAAGGAGTTATAATATTCCACCTTCAATTTTGTCTGCCTTTTCGCTTTTGTTAGTTTTAAGTTTTAATATTATCCCAGGAGAGCAACATTATAAAAAGAAAGGAGGAGAGATAATGATGATAAAATGTTTCATAGGAAAGAATTTGCAAACCACAGACTTTACAAAACTTTAAAAAACTAATGAAATTTACGAAACAGGAGACGGTATTTTTTTAATTAACAAGTTCGTACAGCCCTCTGTTCAACTTCTCCACAATAGTTTGAATGGAAATGCAAGCTAGCATTTAGGCCTACATCGCAAAATCAACGGATTGAAGACTTTTTTTTTTTCGTAATGTACAAATTACGCTGCGTAAAATCCGTTCACTCGGTGCATATTTCGTTATATGCATGTTCGCTTTGTGTGTGTGGGTGGTTGGCGGGTGCTCTGGTGTGGTTTGCTTCTTCTTTCGTATCAAACATCTATCGTCCTTATCTCCCCTCCTTCTTTTTTATGTTTGTTACTCTCCTGTAACAAATCTTCTCTTCTGGCGCTCATATGACCTTATGCAGTTGCGAGTGCCGTAAAACCCCTACTAAAACTAAACTAAAAAGCTTTGTGTGTGTGGAGGGGGTTGCTTGTGTGAGTGTGTGTGTGTGTGTGTGTGTGTGTGTGTGTGTGTGTGTGTGTGTGTGTGTGTGTGTGTGTGTGTGTGTGTGTGTGTGTGTGGTGTTAAGAGATACATGCACCACAATACATGATCATAACTCGGCACTGTGGGTCATTTAGAACCTGGAGGAAATCAAGCCAGAAGAA